CCATATTCCCCTAAATTTTGCTAACAAAATTTGCTAAAGACATGTTCTTATTTATGATTCAAAATTAATTTATTTATTCTTTTACTGTTCTTTTTTCACTGAAAAACTATATTTTATAAACATGAAGAGTTCAAAAAATCTCTTGAGCTTTATTGACTAGGAATTCATGTAACTAAAATTCAAAATTTTGTTTGCTAGATTCTACCAAGAAGGCATGATTCTACCAGGTTCTAATATCTGGGAATATGTTAATAATTGATTACAATTTTCAGTTTTTACTTAGATTTTTGCTAGAGTTCAATTATAATCATTATGGTTATAAAGCATTCAGTAGGAACTTTAAAAATATATATTTCTATTGATTTTTAGAGAGGAAGGGAGAGGGAGAGAGAGATAGAAACATCAATAATGAGAAAGAATCATGGATCGGCTGCCTCCCGCACCCCCACTACTAGGGATGAGCCGGAAACCCTGACGTGTGCCCTTGACCGGGAATCCAATCGTGACATCCTGGTTCATAGGTCGATGCTCAAGGACAGCCATGCCGGCTGGACACCTCATCTAATTTATTTGGAGGGTCTCGGGCCCTTGGCAGGGTGTCCTGTGGATCTGACAGAAGCAGGTGCCGCTGGTGTCCACAGTGTCCGTCCCTCTGACCCTGATCAGCCTCGTGTCCCCCCCCACCAGGTGATGCTCTGCAACCCCATCTGCGGCGTGGGCTACGCGCTGACGGTGTGGCGCTTCTTCCGGGACCGGACGGAAGAGGAGGAAATCTCGCTGATCCACTTCTTCGGGGAGGAGTACCTGGAGTACAAGAAGCGGGTGCCCACGGGCCTGCCCTTCATAAAAGGGGTCAAGGTGGAGCTATGACCCCCGGGGCGCGGCGCCTCCCACTCCCGGGACAAAACGGCCTCCGTGGGCCACTCTGCAGGATGGATTCTCTTAATCGCTTTATACTCATCATTTCCTCTTTGGGAACATCCCTCAAGACCAAAGGTCCGAGGCCTTAGGACCAAAGGCCCCCCTCCCCCAACTTCCCGGAGCATCTGTTCTTGGGCTGAATCGAGAGCTGGGACGGGGATGAAAGATGAACAAGGAGCAGATAACGGCACCTTCAGCAGGCGCTGGGCGGGCCTGGCCGCAGGAGGCCTGGCTGCATTTGGGCTGTAACCGAGCCCCGCCCCCTGGGGCAGGTGGACTCATTACTCCAAATCAGGTTTCTTCCGCAGGAAGGGGCGTGGGCACCAGGGCTTTCTAGCGTTAGAGATATATTTTAACCGAAAAGATACATTTTAACCGAAACACGAGCAGCACAGGCCTAACCACCTCCTTCCCATCCCCCGTGGGCGCATGAGCATCTATCCAGTTTTAAGCCACTTCCTGATAAGGCTCTCCATGTATTTATCCTATTGACACCCCTGTTTTATGAATGGCAGTGTGAGTGCCGAGGGGCTCGGTGTTTACAGCCCCAACTCTTATTTGGCACAAAGGAAGCATCCACACCTGGCCAATTGGCTTTGTGTTACCAGGGAGCCCCGGCCCCCATGGCCTCCTGGCCTGCCCCTGCCCTCCCCCAGTGGGGCTGTCATCAGTAGCAGGCATGTCCGAGATGTGTCCTTAGTCCTTTGTCCAAGAAACGGTTCCTGGACGCCTGCTCTGTGCGAGGCCTTGTCAGACACTGGGAAGTACTGCCCTCCATCGATTTGGGTTCTATTTTTTACCATAGCGTGTAGTTTTGTGTTTTGATTCAAATCTATTAACTTGATTTCTATGTTCCGTTCTCAAAATGTCATCGTCCCTGATGCCACTTCAAACTGTCTTCCAAAGGGGTGTGAGCGCTCGCACAGCTGCACAATGCAAGGCGACTCGTGAAAGTCTTACCGAGAGCAAACAGCCCCGACTGAGAGTGAGCCCTGCTTTTGTCTTTCCAGTTCAGGGAGGGGGATTGACCCATCTGTAGAATGGGGTCAATACCGCCTACCTCACAGGGGTGTTGTGAAGACTCAGAAGAACGTCAAACGTTTTTAATGCTTAGAGGACAGAGGACATTGTGGAATCTGTACTGTGTGAGTTGTGCAAAAATGGACATTCGGTTAACTGTACCAGATGCTGGAAATGTGTGCAAAAGAGCATTTTACCAACTCAAAATAGTATTAATTTCTAGATTTCACGGCCTAATTGATCCTTTTGTCATCATATACCAAAGAGGCGTGCGGGTTCGCGAACTGGTGGGGTGAGACCCAGACACCCGCCCTGGGCCGGGGAGGGCTGTGCAGTCAGACTGGCCAAGGCCACTGCTGGCCTGAGCCAGCCTTGTTCCCCAGACCGCGCTCCGTGAGATCAGCTCCACTTAGTAGGACTGCAGGATGGGAGCGGGGGGCAGCCACCCCCAGCTCTTTGAGGGAAACTTCTTGCCGATTGGAGCCGGTGTGGACCCAGATCTAAGGCCCCTTCCCGGCCATGGTTTGTCTCCCTAGCAGCTGGGGAGCAGCTCTGAGGGCCCCGGGCTTTGTGAGGCGGCGGGTGTGAAGATCCGTCCTTCCTCCCCCTGCCCGGAGTTCAGAGCCCGCCTTCCTGCTGCTGGGAGCTCAGCCCTGGGCCACTGGGGCCGACCCGCTGCTGGGCTTTTCCAGAGCAGGTCGGAGAGGGCAGGGAGAACATGGCGCCCTCCTTGGCAGTCAGGCCCAGGGCAGAGGCCCGCGATGACGTGGGGATAGAAGGTGAACCCGTGAGGGACAGGGTTTGCAAGGGGCTGGCTTTCATCTGGCCTGGCTCTTCAGGTTATTTTTAACCGGACAAATTTAGCAGCGATGGCCTGCCCGGCAGGGAATTGGGTTAATGAGGTGCGGGCTCCCTGGGTGCTCCCCAGCTTCCTGGGCCAATGAAACCGCCAGGAGATTTCTCATGCCGTTGCGGCTTCTTAAGGGGAACACGGGCATTGCGCAGAGCCACGCTGCCTGGAAGCCGTGGACGGACCCCTGACACAGGATCCGCAGGGCTGTGCGTGGCAGCTTACCACCAAGGTAGGGAGCGAGCTGGGCAGAAAGCAAAAGGCTGAGACCCCACCGCCCCTCCTGGTGTGAGCTGCTTCTGGAGCCTCAGAGTCAATGTTACCAGTCCCTCCCATCCATTCAGCACTCGGTGATGACCGATAGGGGAAGTGTTCCGAAGCCAGTACATTGCATCAATAGATGCGGCTCAGTGAGGTCTCAGCCACAGCTCATCTTGGTAACAGTCCCTCCATAACGGGTGCAGTGACCTAACCACTGACCCTTCTCTGACTTTCCTACTGCCTTAGACAGCTGCCATCTCCCGACGTTTTTGCCTCTGTAGAGACTTGCGAGGGTGGGCAACCTCAGCATTGCCGCGCGGTGGGACCTGCTCCCCGGGCCCCGCTCTGAGAGCTTGCCGGCCTGGGGCACTGGCCACCCCCGGCCCGGCCACCGGCAGCCGCTCTGGGGAAGCTGGCAAAGTGAGGAGGATAACTTAATGGAGAAATTATTCCACTCTTCTTTCTACATGCAGAAATGTTTGTTTAAATATTTTAAATTGGGTTTTCGTTCACAGACACTGATACTCTTTCCAAATCTGAAATAAAACTGTACTCGGTTTCACTACAGAGCGGTGTGATGGTGTGGGATGCGCCAGCGCCCGGGTCACGTGCTCCGGCTGAGGAACGAGAGGACCAGCAGCATCAGGCAGGTGTATTCGTGACTCCGTTCTGAACTCCCGCCTCTAAGCCGTTTGTGATGCCAGGCGCTCCCTCCCTGCAGGCTCCCGAGGTCTTGCCGCTCTGGCACGGACAGCCCTGAAACGGCGGGTCCAGGGGGGTTGGCAGTTTTCGTGTGACACCAGCGTATTGATGTGCAAGCCCAGCTGGTGCAGAAAAGCCATTGGCTGTTTGAACCCCTGACGCAGGATGGACATTTGCTTAAAATGTGACTCTCTGGGCATGATTTTGCCTCAAAACTTAAAATTTTAGGTCATGTAGGTTAATGTTCCTTTTTTATGTATGTTAATCCTCACACCAGGATATTTTTCCCATTGATTTTTTTTTTTTTTTAGAGAATGGAAGGGAGGGTGAGGAAGAGAAACATCGATATAAAAGAGACACATTCAGTGGTTGCTTCCCACACACACCCCGACCCCGGCTGGGGATCGAACCTGCCGTTCAGGTATGTGTCCTTGACGGGGAATTGAACCCTGGAACCTTCGGCGCACAAGCCGACGCTCTAACCACTGAGCACACCAGCCAGGGCAATTTTCCGTTTTAAAGACCATTAAGTTCCTCTTGCAGAAAGGGCACTGCATAGGAATGGGAAGCTACCAGAGACAATTGCTGCCGAATCTGCTTTAATAACAGAAGGCGAGCACAGGTGCAGGCAGCAGCCTGGGAGGGAGCCGAGGAGCCGTGGAGGGCCATCCCGCCTGGCACCTGCTCTGGGGCTCAGCCCTCGCCTGGGAGGGAGGAAGCTGGGCACGGGGTTTCCCTCTGCTGAGCGGCGCTCAGAGTGCCGGGTGGAACCTTCCCGTGGCACCCGGTTAAACAGTGGACCTGTGACTCGGGAGAAACCAGCTTCCTCTGAGCATGGAGTCTCCTTACCTAAGTTCAGAGCGGCCCGCCCCTCCCGCACGCAGGTCATCCTGGCACAGGGTAGCACAGGCCCTGAGGAGGGGCTGGGCCAGGGAGAGGCTTGAGGCTGGGTGTTCCTTTATTTATTTAAAATATTATTGATTCAGAGAGAAAGGGAGAGAGAGAAACAGCAATGATGAGAGAGAATCATTGATCGGCTGCCTCCTGCACTCCCCCCACTGGGGATGGAGCCTACAACCTGGACATGTGCCCTTGACCGGAATCAAACTGTGACCTGGTTCATAGGTTGATGCTCAACCACTGAGCCACACCCGCTGGGCTGGATGGTCCCTCACTGACCAACCATGTGGCCTAGGACTCGTCCCCTGTCGCCATGATGAGAACCCAGACTTTGTGCTACGTGAATGCAGGGAAAGCAAAGCTAGGCCCCAGCCAGAGCCTGAAATGACCTGTGAGCGTGTCTGGGTTTTACTGCTGATAAGCAACCCCCCTTCACCCTGTGAATGTTATGGGGGAGCGTGCTTTTCTTACAGGCCCGGGCTTGCTGGTGACAGGCCCACGCCCGGGACCAGCCCCATCTGCTAGGTGGGGCGCTCCCTCCGTGGGGGGACATCGCCCCCGTTTCTCGCTTTGGGTCCATGAGGATCTTTGCTCTGCAGGGGAGGCTCTTCCGCGAGGCTCTGCTGGGTCCGGCTGTTTCCTCTGGGCTCCGAGGTCTCCCTCTTGTCCGCCCCACACGCTGGGTCACTCCTACGGGATCATGAACGTGAGCTCTAGCCTGTGGCGCCACCCGCCGCCCCGCTCACCGGGCCCAGCACTGGCGTCCACCCGGCCCAAGCTTTTGGAACAGGAGGCCTTTCCGGAAGGCATGGTGACCGCGTCATCAGAGCCAGAGCGGTGGCCTCCTTCAGGGCTGTTTCATTTCTGATGAGAGGTAGTAGCCCGGGCATCAGCAGCGCGGCCCTCTCAGCAGGAGCTCGGTTCACTCGCCTGAAGCATCGGAGCTAACCGTGGAGCCTGGTGTGTGTGAGTGTGTGAGTGTGTGTGTGTGTGTGTGTGTGTGCGCGTGCGTGTGAGTGTGTGTGTGTGCGTGTGCGTGTGTGCGCGCATGTGCGTGTGCATGTGCGCACCTACCAGGGCTCCGGGCTCTCACAGCTCTGACCCTGCACCTCCGCTTTCCGCCCCGTCCCCCTGACTAGCTCGCCTCACCCAGAGGGAAATGCGGAGAGCCCGCTGTGACAGCGGCTGTCTTTCTGCGCTCTCCTCCCTCCGGCCGTGTTTTACAAACACCATGGCTCCAGTGACAGCAGTGCTCCCACAGGTGGTCCTCACTCACTGCTCCTCGCCGAGTGGGCGTGAGCCGCGTGTCCCGAGTGCCCAGGAGCCAGTCCAAAGTGCTGGTGGCTCTTGGTGGTGTCAGGCCCGGCAGCCGCCGTGGTTAGAAAACGTGGGTCACGTCTATCAAGGTCACATCTGTCATCCCCGAGTCCCTGCCAGATTACAAACCTCTCTGACCCGTATTCTACAAATTGAGGCCCCACCAAGGCCGTAGAGGGGACCAAAGGGGAGAGGAATCTGGGGCCTGTCTCCCCGGTCACTGTCTCTGGAACGAGCTGTTCGGCCGCCCAGGGCGGGAAGACGAGCTGTACCTGGCCTGGGCCTCGTCCTTCGTGCTGTCGTCACCCAGGTCTTGGAGCTGCTCTGACTCCTCGTCCACGGGCGCCTGGAACCTGCAGAGGAAGAGCCCGCACACTGCGTGTTCTGAAGCTCACGCTGCACAAAAACCAACTCCAGCAAACACTCAAGGGCCTGCCTAGGGCTTGGTCCTCAGCAGTTCCCGAGGGCGGGGCGGCTCTCAGGGAAGCTGCCTTCTGGTCAGGGAGACAGGCCCAGGTTGTCAGGGCACAGCGAGCCAGTGGTGGGAGGGACAGTGAGCGGGACCGGCTCTCAGTCGGGTGGTCTGGGAAGGCCTCCGCTGACATTCAAACTGAGACCCGAGGACGAGGCTCCCGCCGTCTGAAGCAGCGACATTCCAGGCAGAGCGGGGAGCGGAGCCGGTCTAGCTGCTTCGGGAAACTGAAAGGCCGCTACAGCTGGCGTGTGGTGGGGGCCGACGCGGTCAGAGGCCCCACTTAACCCTCATGGCGTGGCCCTCATGAAAGGGGCTCTTCCCAGTATGTGGCTCCTTCCCACACATTCTGAAGTGTCTGGGCTCCCCTGAGGACCCCCCCACCCCCGCCCCGGTCTCACCTGGGTTCCAGCCGCTCCTTCACCTTGGCGATCGAGCGGACGTAGGGTGTGATCTGCTTGGTGATGGTGGTCAGGCAGGCATTCTCCTGCTTCAGCTGGAGGAGGTCATGGAGCTGGGCTGAGGGGCCAAGGCCGGAGTGTTGGGTCTTGTTGGCTTTAGAGTCTTACCCCCCCAGCTTCACGCCATCACAATATCCCAACTACTCCCCCCTCACTTCTTTCTTTAAAAAGTGGAGTGAGACTCGAGAGGGCCTTCTACTCACTGAGTTCTGGCCCCAGATGCGTCGTGTTGGGGCCAGTTAGTGGCTGTGAGACAAAGTCAAGGGCTAAGGGAAGAGCATGGGGCTGCGTGTATCCGGTTAGTGGGGGACTGCCTTCCTGCCTCGCTGGCACACGGGTTAGCTCCGGACAGGGGTGCACCCAGCAGGGCTGCCTGGGACCTTCATAAATCTCCTGCTCGTCAGCCACCCGCTGGTAGGACTCCTCCCACATCTGAAAGAGAAAGTAGGGTGGACATGCGTGTGGTGTGAGTTGGGATGTCCATTGGTGGCATTTCTGTCCTCTAGCTACTCAGAGCCACAGGCACCCCCAGCCAGTCCATATGGTTCCAAGAAGCAAAGACCCAGGTTCCAGAGCCTGCCACACCGGGCCTCCGGGGCACCAGCCAATGCCCTCTTTCTCCCCCTTCCTGTCTGGGGGTGGCCCCTGTGCATGCTGAGGGGTGAGCTGCTGGGGAGCTAGGTCCTCGGAAGGGGGTACCTCCTGGAAGGCTGCTCTCATCCCCTCCACGGAGGCGTACTCCGAGCCGATCTGCGCGTCCACCTGCAGGGCCTTGCGGAGAATGTCTGCCATGATCTCGGCCTTGATGAGCGAGTGGTGCTTGGTGAGGTCCCGGTGCAACTCCTGGACCTGGTCCTTCAGGCTCTGCATCTCCGCCTGCAGGTGCTGCCGGGGGATCCCATGAGCGCCTGGGGCTCTGCAGGCTTGTCTCCTCGGGGTCTCAGAGGAGAGCTGGCTTCCAGGGTGGCGGGTCTCGATGTGGGCCCTGCGTCTCCGTGAGGAAGGGGTGGGCCTTTCCCGCCCACAGGTCCCCAGGGCCCGCTCACCCGGTAGGAGTCCTCATAGTGGCGGCAGTGCTCCGCGAAGGGCGTGTCCTCGCCCTCCGCCAGCAGCACCTTGGTGCCGATGGACCGGTGCAGTGTGGGCTTCTGGACCGGTGACCCCAACATCTTCCCCACCGGGGAAGGGCAGCTGGGCCCCAGCACCTTGGGGCCTGAGACCCCTGCCAACCTGGGAGAGAACCAGTGCGGATGCAGATGGGGGGCGGGAGAGTGGGAGGGTGGGAAGGCAGGCCCTCCCTTCGTCCCTCCCCCAGCCTTTTAGTGCCTCCCAGCCCCCTCACCCCAGACTGCACCCCAGAACCACCCTGGGAGCGCCAGAAAGCCTCATGCAAGTCCGCACCGGAGACCAATGGCATCCGCAGGGCTTTTCAAACCCTCCGGGGTGACTCAGTGTGGAGGAGAGTCCAGAGGAGTCAGGCTGGTCCCAGTAAACGCTGTGAGCCCTCACCCGCTGCCCCCACCCCGGAGCGGGCACATGCCTTTCCCCTACCTCCTCCCAGGTCTCCCGCCCGGGGGCTCAGGCCCCACCCAAGCTGCCCCTCCCGTCAGCGCCT